AGATGTGGAGCTTCCAGCTTGTAGGACGTGGAGCTTCCAGCTTGTAGGATGTGGAGCTTCCAGCTTTTAGACGTGGAGCTTCCAGCTTGTAGACGTGGAGCTTCCATCTTGTAGATGTGGAGCTTCCAGCTTGTAGGATGTGGAGCTTCCAGCTTGTAGGATGTTGAGCTTCCAGCTTGTAGACGTGGAGCTTCCAGCTTGTAGACGTGGAGCTTCCAGCTTGTAGGAAGTGGAGCTTCCAGCTTGTAGGACGTGGAGCTTCCAGCTTGTAGATGTGGAGCTTCCAGCTTGTAGGACGTGGAGCTTCCAGCTTGTAGGACGTAGAGCTTCCAGCTTGTAGGACGTGGAGCTTCCAGCTTGTAGATGTGGAGCTTCCAGCTTGTAGATGTGGAGCTTCCAGCTTGTAGATGTGGAGCTTCCAGCTTGTAGACGTAGAACTTCAGCTTGTAGGACGTGGAGCTTCCAGCTTGTAGGATGTAGAGCTTCCAGCTTGTAGGACGTAGAGCTTCCAGCTTGTAGACGTGGAGCTTCCAGCTTGTAGGAGGTGGAGCTTCCAGCTTGTAGACGTGGAGCTTCCAGCTTGTAGACGTAGAGCTTCCAGCTTGTAGGACGTGGAGCTTCCAGCTTCTAGACGTGGAGCTTCCAGCTTGTAGACTTAGAGCTTCCAGCTTGTAGGACGTGGAGCTTCCAGCTTGTAGGACGTGGAGCTTCCAGCTTGTAGACGTGGAGCTTCAAGCTTGTAGACGTAGAGCTTCCAGCTTGTAGGACGTAGAGCTTCCAGCTTGTAGGACGTAGAGCTTCAGCTTGTAGACGTAGAGCTTCCAGCTTGTAGGACGTAGAGCTTCCAGCTTGTAGATGTGGAGCTTCCAGCTTGTAGGACATGGAGCTTCCAGCTTGTAGGATGTGGAGCTTCCAGCTTGTAGACGTAGAGCTTCCAGCTTGTAGGACGTAGAGCTTCAGCTTGTAGGACGTGGAGCTTCAGCTTGTAGGACGTGGAATTTCAGATTGTAGGACGTGGAGCTTCAGCTTGTAGGACCTGGAGCTTCCAGCTTGTAGGACGTGGAGCTTCCAGCTTGTAGGACGTGGAGCTTCCAGCTTGTAGACGTAGAGCTTCCAGCTTGTAGGATGTGGAGCTTCCAGCTTGTAGGACGTGGAGCTTCAGCTTGTAGGGCCTGGAGCTTCCAGCTTGTAGGATGTAGAGCTTCCATCTTGTAGGTGTTGAGCTTCCAGCTTGTAGATGTGGAGCTTCAATTTTTAGATGTGGAGCTTCCAACTTGTAGGATGTGGAGCTTCCAGCTTGTAGACGTGGAGCTTCCAGCTTGTAGGACATAGAGCTTCCAGCTTGTAGGATGTGGAGCTTCAGCTTGTAGACGTGGAGCTTCAGCTTGTAGGACGTAGAGCTTCCAGCTTGTAGGATGTAGAGCTTCAGCTTGTAGACGTAGAGCTTCCAGCTTGTAGACGTGGAGCTTCCAGCTTGTAGGATGTAGAGCTTCAGCTTGTAGACGTAGAGCTTCCAGCTTGTAGACGTGGAGCTTCCAGCTTGTAGACGTGGAGCTTCAGCTTGTAGGACGTGGAGCTTCAACTTGTAGGACGTGGAGCTTCCAGCTTGTAGACGTGGAGCTTCCAGCTTGTAGACGTGGAGCTTCCAGCTTGTAGGACGTAGAGCTTCCAGCTTGTAGGACGTAAAGCTTCCAGCTTGTAGGACGTAGAGCTTCCGCTTGTAGGACGTGGAGCTTCCAGCTTGTAGATGTGGAGCTTCCAGCTTGTAGACGTAGAGCTTCAGCTTGTAGGACGTAGAGCTTCCAGCTTGTAGGACGTAGAGCTTCCAGCTTTGTAGGACGTAGAGCTTCCAGCTTGTAGACGTGGAGCTTCCAGCTTGTAGGAGGTGGAGCTTCCAGCTTGTAGACGTGGAGCTTCCAGCTTGTAGACGTAGAGCTTCCAGCTTGTAGGACGTAGAGCTTCCAGCTTCTAGACGTGGAGCTTCCAGCTTGTAGACTTAGAGCTTCCAGCTTGTAGGACGTAGAGATTCCAGCTTGTAGGACGTAGAGCTTCCAGCTTGTAGACGTGGAGCTTCCAGCTTGTAGGAGGTGGAGCTTCCAGCTTGTAGACCCCTGGCCCGACACTCTCCCACTCCCCCTTGTGGGAGCCCGCACTGCACGCTACGCGTGGTGCCCGCGCTATCCCAGCGCTCACCAAGCCCCACTAGGGCTGGTCTAGGGGGTGTACGCGATGACGGTGCATCGCACGCCATGCTGTCCTAGAGCCAGCCTCACGCAGCAACCCACCCCAGTGCTGTCCACGGCATAAGAACGTCACACAGTGACATCCCCGATGTCACTACAAACGTGTTGCATCCAAATCTACGTCTGCGACTCAGTTGAACCCACATTTCTCAACTCCCTTGAATTGATGATCTAAACTTCTAAATTACTACTTCGAGTCATGAGAGTTTGGCTTTGTGTGAGAGAAAAGCGGAGAAACCAGAGGGTACCAGGCATGCACAGGAGGGGGCCCACACTCAGAGATCCGCACAGGAAAGATTCAGGAATAGACACGCCTGTGCGTTCATCACCATGCCACCTGGCAACCCCAACACACTGCAGCAGCTGCTGCTGGCAAGCAGCCTCCACGCGAACAACGAGCAGCTCGGCGAAACTGCTGGCCGTCGTGGCCGTGCAGAGTTAGCATCGTTTATCTCAAAGTGCAGTCCTGGGGGATGAATAAAAAGCAAAGTCACGGATAACCGCGACATCTCCCCTACTAAATTACACTGTGAGTGGCTGGGTGTGAGTGTGCAGGGTGGTGATGTGAGTGGTTGGGTGTGAGTGTGCAGGGTGACACCGAGTGGCTGGGTGTGAGTGTGCAGGGTGACACTGTGAGTGGCTGGGTGTGAGTGTGCAGGGTGATACTGTGAGTGGCTGGGTGTGAGTGTGCAGGGTGACACTGTGAGTGGCTGGGTGTGAGTGTGCAGGGTGACACTGTGAGTGGTTGGGTGTGAGTGTGCAGGGTGACACTGAGTGGCTGGGTGTGAGTGTGCAGGGTGACACTGAGTGGCTGGGTGTGAGTGTGCAGGGTGGTGATATGAGTGGCTGGGTGTGAGTGTGCAGGGTGATACTGTGAGTGGCTGGGTGTGAGTGTGCAGGGTGACACTGTGAGTGGTTGGGTGTGAGTGTGCAGGGTGGTGATGTGAGTGGCTGGGTGTGAGTGTGCAGGGTGACACTGTGAGTGGCTGGGTGTGAGTGTGCAGGGTGACACTGAGTGGCTGGGTGTGAGTGTGCAGGGTGACACTGAGTGGCTGGGTGTGAGTGTGCAAGGTGACACTGTGAGTGGCTGGGTGTGAGTGTGCAGGGTGACACTGAGTGGCTGGGTGTGGGTGTGCAGGGTGACACTGTGAGTGGCTGGGTGTGAGTGTGCAGGGTGACACTGAGTGGCTGGGTGTGAGTGTGCAGGGTGAGACTGTGAGTGGCTGGGTGTGAGTGTGCAGGGTGACACTGTGAGTGGCTGGGTGTGAGTGTGCAGGGTGACACTGAGTGGCTGGGTGTGAGTGTGCAGGGTGACACTGAGTGGCTGGGTGTGAGTGTGCAAGGTGACACTGTGAGTGGCTGGGTGTGAGTGTGCAGGGTGACACTGAGTGGCTGGGTGTGAGTGTGCAGGGTGACACTGTGAGTGGCTGGGTGTGAGTGTGCAGGGTGACACTGAGTGGCTGGGTGTGAGTGTGCAGGGTGACACTGTGAGTGGCTGGGTGTGAGTGTGCAGGGTGACACTGTGAGTGGCTGGGTGTGAGTGTGCAGGCTGACACTGTGAGTGGTTGGGTGTGAGTGTGCAGGGTGGTGATGTGAGTGGCTGGGTGTGAGTGTGCAGGGTGACACTGAGTGGCTGGGTGTGAGTGTGCAGGGTGGTGATGTGAGTGGGTGTGAGTGTGCAGGGTGACACTGAGTGGCTGGGTGTGAGTGTGCAGGGTGGTGATGTGAGTGGCTGGGTGTGAGTGTGCAGGGTGACACTGAGTGGCTGGGTGTGAGTGTGCAGGGTGACACTGTGAGTGGCTGGGTGTGAGTGTGCAGGGTGGTGATGTGAGTGGCTGGGTGTGAGTGTGCAGGGTGACACTGAGTGGCTGGGTGTGAGTGTGCAGGGTGGTGATGTGAGTGGCTGGGTGTGAGTGTGCAGGGTGACACTGTGAGTGGCTGGGTGTGAGTGTGCAGGGTGACACTGAGTGGCTGGGTGTGAGTGTGCAGGGTGGTGATGTGAGTGGCTGGGTGTGAGTGTGCAGGGTGACACTGTGAGTGGCTGGGTGTGAGTGTGCAGGGTGGTGATGTGAGTGGCTGGGTGTGAGTGTGCAGGGTGACACTGAGTGGCTGGGTGTGATTGTGCAGGGTGACACTGTGAGTGGCTGGGTGTGAGTGTGCAGGGTGATACTGTGAGTGGCTGGGTGTGAGTGTGCAGGGTGACACTGAGTGGCTGGGTGTGAGTGTGCAGGGTGACACTGAGTGGCTGGGTGTGAGTGTGCAGGGTGACACTGAGTGGCTGGGTGTGAGTGTGCAGGGTGACACTGTGAGTGGCTGGGTGTGAGTGTGCAGGGTGGTGATGTGAGTGGCTGGGTGTGAGTGTGCAGGGTGACACTGAGTGGCTGGGTGTGAGTGTGCAGGGTGACACTGTGAGTGGCTGGGTGTGAGTGTGCAGGGTGGTGATGTGAGTGGGTGTTAGTGTGCAGGGTGACACTGAGTGGCTGGGTGTGAGTGTGCAGGGTGACGCTGCGAGTGGCTGGGTGTGAGTGTGCAGGGTGGTGATGTGAGTGGCTGGGTGTGAGTGTGCAGGGTGACGCTGCGAGTGGCTGGGTGTGAGTGTGCAGGGTGGTGATGTGAGTGGCTGGGTGTGAGTGTGCAGGGTGACACTGTGAGTGGCTGAGTGTGAGTGTGCAGGGTGGTGATGTGAGTAGTCACCACGAGGTGAGTGAAGATCCCCAAAAACACGAACGTGCACACGGGACACCGAGTTTCTCACACCTTGAGGTCGACAAGCCTGGTCCTCGCCAGGGACACGTATTCCATCAGCGCAGCGCGTTGCTTCAGCTCCACAAACGGGGGGTTTAGGATGTGAATCTTCCCACGAGAAGGAGGAAAAACAACAATCACGGCACTGCATAGTGTGGCTTAGCGAAGAGCAATTCAGAGATAAATATCCCTCGTGTGAATTGCTGCTGCTGCCACCGCCGCCGCTGCTGTGCCTCCCATTGCATTTGCAAAGTGGTTTACAATGCGCACATTGACTAAGGATGATGTGCTCCGCAGCTCGCTGTGCACAGGAGGGTTTGGTCAGTTTCTCCGCTGACACGTTCCCGGCTTCCTTTCCAACTCCTGGAGGCGCCGGGCGACGAGATGATGGGGTGTGCATATTCGGCCAGGTCACATGCTCAACTGTTCTCGGGAAGCTTGGCACACCACGTGGGTTTCAGTGGTGGGATCGGATGCTAGCCGCATGTTCTTAGCAAACAATAGTTTGAAGCACGGAAACAAAAAAACACTTTTACCACCGCCATCATCAGCCGTGAACACGACCTTGTGACAGAAAAACGTACAGTAGGATGACGTTTCAGTCAAGAGCTCTTCTCTGATATTTAGAAAGCAAGGGGCAGCCAGAACAGACTTGATTCACCCTCAACAGTGAAACAAATACCGAGGCAAGTCATCCTAACCGCTACAATTTTGTAATCTGCGATTCCCCTTGCGAGCCGCACAATAGCGTCTTGCTATTACCCGTGGCTCTGTGAAAAGCAAAGAGTGCCATTGCCCAGATTCTCCGCAGACCATAGATCCTGTTACCTGCAGGATATCATGATGGAATCACTGCCATGTGACACTACTATCTATAAAACATATCGGTAATAAGAGGTCTCCCTTTTTATCAATTTCATTTGCACCATAACTGCCGGCATTTAACCTGTTTCAACTCTAACCTGCTAGGATAGTCGCATTTTCACCAACTCTTTTGAGTTGATGATCTATAAAACATTGCCACACACCCATCATCAATAAATGCTTCTGTTGCGATGGGTTTTCTTATCATTTACAGATTTGAACTAATGCCCGGCCCACGCTGATCAATGGTCTCGGTAATGGTGAGCCAATGGATCAGCACGTGGCGTCAAAGCTTCCCCAGCATTCGTGTGCAGACAACTCGGAGAGGTGGCCCATTGGGTGGCGCATTCGCCACTTGTCGCACAGCTTCTCGGGTTGAATCCCGGCGGCCACCCTGGTTATTGCATACGATGAATTCACCTTAAATGCACTCCGTCTGTTTCACAGTGAATGTCATAGATACCCTGACATTCTATTTTTGTTTATTTTACCAGGTAAGGGCCACTGAGCTATATAGCTCTTTTTCAGAAGTGCCCTGATGATAGCTCAACGAAGTGGCACATCACATGGAAATGTAATGCCGCCAAATACTTTTAAGCGCACGGAGAAAAATCCACGTGACCACGGGGAGAGACACATGCAAACTACAAATATACAACAGGCATCAAGATTCGGGATAGAACCCACGACCTCCTGCATGCCAGGCGAGGGAGTTGACATCTAACCACCACGGTGCTCCGAATTGGCCATTAGAAACAGATTGGCCATTGTGCCAAGCATCATGGTTACAATTGCCTATTTCGAAAAAATTTCCTGCAAATGACTCAATTGGGATTACGCATGGACATCATTGCCCTCCACTGACAGCCTCACGTCCACTTTCAGACCAGTGCCAAGTCACCTCGTTGTGCCACATTGGGACAGCTGCCACTGGTGGGGGGGGGGGGGCTTTGAATGTTTACGAGCCGAGATGTAAGGAGCTTCGAGAGGCATTTAAGGCAATACCATATGAACATAAAGACTGTTATACATAAGAGGTTTTTTTTTATTAAATCCTGTAAATAGAAATGCGTCGTTAAACTCGCCACCACCCGACAAAGCCAATTACGAAGGTTTGTCATGTAAACAAAACATGCCAATTCGTTACTAGTTCAGCACACCCGTGAGTTAGAGAATAAACCCACAACATTTACAATTCGAGTACCGGTAATAATAACCAACCTAATCAGGCCTACGTGTTAAACTGACAGAATATTGTTTGTGATTATTGTGACCCCTCTGCTCGACTCACCTTGAGGTAGTGCGGAGGCTCAAATGGCACCAGCTCCGACAGGAACTTGAGGAGGAACAACAGCGACTTCTTGCTGCCCACGTGGAACCCTTTGGCGTCACCGAAAGAGCTCTGGAGACAGCAACGCCCGAGCGAGAATCAAATCCCTGACGATGCTGCATTCACAGATGGCTCCCAGCGGCGCCCACCGGCCACAACAAGTAAACTCCTCCGCACGCAGCCATCGAGCATCTCCAGCAACTGGGATCCAGCTTGGGGCAATGGGGGGTGATCTTAACCCCCCGACCCCCGCCTCCTTGGAACCCCAAAACGTGGCATTGTATTAATATTTACCAGAGAACATGTGTTTTTGTTAATAATGCAGGGCCCTATTAATTGAAATGTCACGAGCGCAGAGGTCTGACTCTGCCCGTCTGGCTCACTCAGAGAAGCCGCGAGTGCTGCACACAGCTCGGAGTTAAAACCCTGGGACGCTTTGCAAAGGAAGGGAAATTATTGCACGGGTGAAACGCCACCACCATGAACGCTCCGCCACCACCAGACAAATAATCTTTTATTTTTTTTAAATCGCTAACGTCTCACCTCTGATATGTTGTCGTCATCTACCATAATCAATCCACTGCTGGATGAAGGCCTCACCTAGGCTGCTGCCACCACTACGAACCTGTGATGTAATAAGTCACCAAGCACCGATACATGGAGCTGATTTTATTTCTCCATCTCCTCACTGCACTGCCTCTCAGATCCATTGCAACGTTATTCTTGACCACCGGCCATTGTCCATTCGTACGACGCGTCCCACCCGAGCAAACACATCTTTCTTTCCTGTTAGAATGAGATCATGAATCTGCGTATGGTCCCTAATCAATCCATCATGAGTTCCATTCTCCATCTCTCCGTGTAAATGCAAGTATGCTAAACTAATTATGTCAGGATATGAAAAGGCCGGGGAGACTTATTCATGGTATGTAGACACGTATCGCGAACGTTCACGTGCATTGAAAAAACATGAAATGTTTATCTCGTGCGTCCGAAACCCAATGTGTGCCTGTAGATTCCGTGTCAGACCGGGGAACAACTGATTCTCAAGAGGAACAAAATAAGCAGACAACAAGCCTCCCTCACATCGATTTCGGTCCACATAAAATAAAGAGCATTTTCTACACATCCCATCAGTCACACAGCCCCCAGCATTGCTTCGACATAAACAAACTCTGCATCGTTTTTGACCTCAGCAGGATTGGTTCGATATAATAAATAATAAAACCTCTATTTTATAAAGTGCCTTTCATATTGAAACATCTCAAAGCCCTCTACATCAAAAATAAACGACACACAAGTATAGATAAAATATAAGCAAAATAGAAATCTAAAAACAATATCAATGACGACAATCGAAATTTAAAAAAAACTCTGAGAAAAGCGAATAATAATAATAATTTCGATTTAAAGCTTTCGTCACTGCAGGGATTCATCTTCTTGGTTCTTTCGGTAAAGTCACGTAGAAGGGAAGTAATAAAATAATAAAAATAAAATTATTATTATTTTTATTATGTTTTATTTTTATTATTTTATTACTTCCCTTCTACGTGACTTTACCGAAAGAACCAAGAAGAATAATAATAATAATAAAGACTTACCTAGTAAGGCCCACAGAGCTATAAAGCTATTTTTAAGAACCGACGTCAGAAGCGCAAATGATCATTTAACAAAGAGGCTTATCACGTGGAATTTTCTGGCAGCCAAATACTGTAAATGCATGTTTATAAATGTGGAGGGAAAAACCAGGGGATCCGGAGAAAAATCTACACGACCACGGGGAGAGAAACACACAAACTCCAAATATACCACAGGCATCAGGGTCAGGATGAAACCCACGACCTCCTGTATACCAGGCGAGGTAGTTAACATCTCGCCGCCACAGGGCCCGCAATAACAACAAATACAGAGTAATCAAATCAGACAACAAAACTGGTTTTCAAATCTTAAGTTACGAGAAAAATTCTGCACAAGTGGGTAAGTTTTAAGACGCAATAAAAAAAGTGAAACAGACTCAGAATCTGTCCTAGAAAGGGGGATTCCACAATCACGGGGCCTGGCTGCAGCAGGCTCTACGTGTCTCCCATACAACATCAACACCACCACAGTCTTGTCTTTGCAATGATGAGTAGACCAGAATCAGCTGATCTAAGTTTTCTCAGTGGTATATAAAAGTAGAGCAGATTGGCCAGAGGGAGCCAGTGCAGGGACAAAAGACTAGGAATCATATGTGGGCATACAATTTAGATCTGGTTAAAACCCAGGCTGCTGACTTTTAAATATTTTTTTATCTATTTAAAACCTTTTTTAGAAATGCCAGCAAGCAAGGCATTACAGTAATCCAACCTATATGAAAAAAAGTAAAGCACCAGCTTCTCAGCATCAGGAATGGACAGCATAGGTCTTAGTCGAGGTATGTTGGTAATTTTCAGTCGATCATCGAACACATTCCTGCGGAGAAAGCTGGTAGGAACGTTGGGTTGCTCGGTCAATGGCCAGGGTCAACGGCGGCGTGGTGTATTCCGAAAATATGCCCGACTGTGAGGGCGGGCACAAGCCGGCGTGAGTAGGTTAAACGTTGAGTTTTATAAGGGAACCAAGGCATGACCAGCGCCTCCCCACCCAGCCCCACCCCTCCCACCCAGCCACACCCAGCTCCACCCTCCCCACCCAGCCCCTCCCTCCCCACCCACCCCATCCCTCCCCACCCTCCCCACCCAGCCCCTCCCCACCCTCCCCTCTCTACCCAGCCCCACCCATTTTTGGATGCACGAGGGACAGACACAATAATCCCCTGTGGGCTGGTGGAAACAGGTGGTTCTTACCAGTATTATCCAGTGGCTTAGGAGGGAAGGGGGCGCCAGATTTAAAAAAACGCCGGAAAATCACAATTATTTAAATTAACTAATTTTTGCATATTATTGCATAACATTATGTTTTTAGGTGTTGTGCATGTTTTTTTAGTATTTTAAATTTGTTTACGATATGACATTGGCCTGAATAAAATACTATTTTTTTTCAAATATCCTCCTGTAGAAAGTTACCATATTTACTGCACTGTACTTACCACTCCAATATCGAAGACTCTGCATGGGGTGATGTAATATTCATTGTTCTGTGATGTCTGTATATTGCTCGCTAACGCAATCGAACGCGTTGCTTTCATAGTGACATAGAAATCGGTCACTTAGCAGCACAGCGCTGGCTGCTGGCAGGGAAGAGGATCTGCAGCTACAGCAGCCCTGACTGACAGCAGGTCACGTGATAGACCAGAGAGGGATGTAGGGGAAAGGTCACGGAAGGGGCACATCAAGAACCCGCTAGTAGGTTCCAGAAGGGGGTGTGGCCTGGGCGGAGCCAGGCCACGCTGACAGTGTAAGAGGGGCCCCGGGAGGGGACCTCGGGGCTGTTGTGTGGAGTGGGATCCCGTCGTGCTGCTGCTGGAATATTCTTCTCCGTCTCCATCTTCACCGTCTCGGCGTCGCCAGTCAGCCAGTCAGGCAGTCTACCAGCTGTCCTGACTGGGAACCGTAGTTACCCAGTGTGAACTGTTAAGGCCGTTTAATAAACAGTGTCTCCTACTTTTAGTGTCTCTGAGTCAGTCACTACACTTTGAAGGAGGAGCCTACTTGTACATATGCTCTTGTTTAGAAAAACCATGTGTTTGACGATTGCCAGACTGATGCAGCCTTTACTCCGACGCTCTGGCGAACCCCGAATTCCACATACTTTTCACCGGATCGCACTGTATATTTTCTCTTGACTTAAAGCTTTCGTGACTGCAGGAATTAATTCGGTAAAGTCACGTAGATACCTGAAGATGATTGCTTGTGTTGCGATCGAAACGTCGTGATTTAAAAAAAATTCTATCTACGCGACTTTACCGAAAGACCCAAAGAATATGTATATTTTGTTTTTATTAGTTATTAGTCACGAAAATTTAACAAGAGCAGTATTTTCATTGGTTAAGTTTTTGTATGTAGTGCATAATGTACTGTACATAATATTTGACACTGAAATCAAGAATAGCTACTTTTTGTTTGTCACGCACATGGTGCCGATTGCAGGACAAGTTACAGCCTTCGGAAAGGGTTTCCAGCGATCGCCAGACTGCACGCCGGATTCGCTGGATCAGCCCGGAACTCACCTGGAACCACCGCGTGTAGCTGGCTGACCCCCCAGCGTCACCCAGCGCTGCCTGGCGTGCCAGCAGCAGCGCCAGAACGAGGCTCTCGACCTCGTAGCTGCAGAACGCCTGCGTCAGCAGCCTCCGCAGCATGTCTGCAGGGTAGGAGCCGCAGGCACAGAGTTACGGGCTACAGTGGGGATCCTTCTCTTACCGAGCGCCCCAAGAGGACTTTCAGGCAGTTTTGCCAAGCCGCACATTCCTTTTCTTCTTTTGTATGGCCTATGAAAGAACGATTAGACATTCAGTTGTTAAGTGATTTACCCATTCGGATTTGGTGGTAGGGTGACTCAGTGGAAACACTAGTGCCTCATGGCAAGTAGTATGTATGTTCTCCCCCTGTTTTCCAGAGTGTGAGTGTGTATGTGTGAGGTTGTGTGTGAAGGACACTGCTACTGGCTAGTTGGAGGCAGTGGCCCTCCAACAACAACGGAGGGCAGAGGAACGATGCTCACAACAACGATCGGAGTGCCGGGCAGCTAAAATGCAGCAAGTTCGCACAATAGGGGGTACAACTGGTGCATCTGCCAGTCATCTCAGTTAGCCAACCGATGGCACCTGGATCTGTCCCGTGACCTCCTGTCAGCGAGCCTTCGACACTTCACGTGGCCTCAAAGTGCACCTGGCCTGGGCTGGCTGGCACCGGCGCTGTGGTGACGTCACCGCCACTTAGTGGCAAATGGCGGGTATTGGTGTGTGTTAGTTTGAGTGCCTGTACGTCCCCCCCTGTTCTGTATGGATTTCCTACGAGTTATCTGGTTTCCGCCCATCGCATGTGCGTGCATTTAGCGATGGGAGGGTGTTTGGCCAACTGGTATTGGCCAAACATCCCAATGCTGAAAAATTACCTGGAAATTACTGAATTAAGAATGCACACTTGGCAGGACCCTCTTGAATCAGTCTTGAGAGACTCGTGGAGGCTTTTCTGGATAAACAAGTTGCAATATCAATCATAAGCCACAGTACACGGTCTGCTTATATGCTTACCGCTTTGATTGAAATATTTTTCTCCCACCAAGTATATGTAATAATGTTCAGGAGGACTTGGACGCCGGGGTTGGAGGCACACTTATTTATTCAGTACAAGGTACAACACAGACCGGGACGTACAACACTGGAAGGGGTGTCGGCCCCTTCACCAGTCTAACTGGGAAGTCACGCTCTAGGCTACACCTAGACTACCTCTAGGTCCTCCACTATCGAGCTAGGGGAGGCTAGCTAACCCAGCCCTGGTTAAGCTGGGATTACGGCGCCCGGAGTCCCCAGACCGGCTCTGACAAGAGCATCGGCTCTGGCTCTCGAGGCCACGCCACTGGCTCGGTCCTGGTCGGCCCTGAGAAGGGCAGCGATCCAGGGGAGTCCGAGGGCTCTGTCTAGTAGATCTTCCTTCTTCACTGGTTTAAGCTTAATACATACTGCCCTGAGCCCTCCGGCTCACCCCTTTATATATCCCTCCCCCGTTGAGGGGTGGGGCCGCGGGGGATCCCAGCTCCGTGTCAGCCCCCCAGGCTGAACGGTGCGGACGTCGCTGTGAGCACCTCCCCGCGCACAGACATAGCCACGCCCAGTGTGTTTGTTTACCGTCCGACACAACTGTATAACACCCCCTCCGTAACACCCCTACATATATACAGTAAACCTTCTCTATCCACGGGGGTTATGTTCTTGAAAATGCTCTCGAATGCATAAACCGTGGTCAACAGGAAAAAAGGGCAACGTTCCTGGTACGAGTGAACATGGGGGGGGGGGGGTAAATGGTTAATGTTTAATAATAATTACCACAAAAAATAATACTTTACAAAGAACAATGTTTTTTTTTATTACCTTTGATGATGGTAATTTGACGACGATGGAGATGGTAGTGATGAATTCAGGAGGATGACTCAACGAGAGATAAAGGTGTTTGATAACAACACCACAGAGTTTGTTATCATTTTAGCACTCTGGGGGAGAGCTCGCTGCAACACACTTTCTCTGATTGCATTTTGTGTTCCTTTTTGATGGACCTCACAGTCAACTCGTTTATACCAAAATGTATAAACGAGTCGACTTGTCAGTACGTATAAAGTAAAAGTGCACACTGGCGAGTTCTGAGCGAGATGAGTGCGAGACTTGAGGACGAAGCGGGCAGCAGAGGGGGCGTGCCCAATCTTGGCGGCAGACCGTTTCAAATGTAGTAACAAGATCCTGCACCTCCCCGGTGTGGGTGGTCTGTAGGCACTACGTACAACTCTTAAATACTGGAATCTGGCGGGTAGCGAATAGGGAATTGGTATACATTTAGTAACTCGCGAATCCAGAACTCGAGCATAGTGATGGCTTTTTTATTAGTATTTTTGTATTATTGGGTGCAATTGTGAACAGACATATCAGACATTAAATTTCGATTTAAAGCTTTCGTGACTGCAGGGATTCATCTTCTTGGTTCTTTCGGTAAAGTCACGTAGAAGGGAAGTAATAAAATAATAAAAATAAAACATAATAAAACAATTCTCACGACGTTTCGGCCACAACGCAAGCAGCCGTCCTCAGGTGAAAACCAGGTCCGTCGAGGCGACAGAGTCTGAATGAAACAGCACACGGGCTTGGAGCATATATATAAGCTGGGCGCATTGACAAAGGAATTTGCATATCAACAGGAATTTAGCATATTTATGGGAAATGCAGGAATGTGATTAGTACTGCATATGAATGTGCATTATGCAGGATTAACAGCATCAAAGGGAGCTGCAGTTACTGCTGCTGCAGCAGTTGCTGCTGCTGCTGCAGTTTCTGCTGCTGCTGCAGTTGCTGCTGCTGCTGCAGTTGCTGCTGCTGCTGCACTTGCTGCTGCTGCTGCACTTGCTGCTGCTGCTGCACTTGCTGCTGCTGCTGCTGCACTTGCTGCTGCTGCTGCAGTTGCTGCCTTATCCATTTTAATATAACACTATGTATTATTCTACCCACCCTAATGTGTATCATACTGCTATATGTTTACTGTACAATTACGACACCATACATTACTCTGCACACTGCACCATGCCAGTGAGTGGAACGCGGTCTGAAAGTCACCGTTAACGTGAACACAATCAGTTAAGATCCGAAATGGTTTATTACGTCCTTCCAATGATTGCTAAGCCAGAATCCATCTTCTCGGTTGAAATTGTCTCTGTGTTTGTATATGTGGATCGCCTCATGAACGAATCTCTCATGATAGCCAGATGGCTTGCAGAGAACCTCTGTCTTGGAGAAGTCAATGTCATGTGAGCCCACTGAATTGTAACAGTGATCTGCCACGGCTGAGGTGTTTGTCCTACCGTGTTTCAGGTCTGCCTTATGTTCACGGATGCGGTCCGAGACATGTCGTTTGGTTTCTCCAATGTAACTGCTACCACAGAGGCAACTTAGTTTGTAGACGCCAGGGTACTGTATGTCTGGAACCACATCTTTTACAGACGGGACCAGATCACGGATTTTATGTACTGTGTTGAATCGGACCTGGATCTTGTGTTTAATCAGGATTTTGGAGATCTTTTTTGTGACCCCAGCAATGTAGGGTAAGGTGATGGTCTTGAAAGGCTCCTCAACAGGATCCTTCTTGATGGTTGGAGTGATGGCTTTGCGGATTGTGTAGTCGGAGTAACCATTAGCCTTAAGAGCTTGGCGTACGTGTTTGAGTTCACTGGAAATGTGTTCATGGTCGGAGATGCATTGGGCTCTATGATATAGAGTCTTGATGAGGGAATTCTTCTGGGATGGATGGTGGTGGGAATCCGGTTTTAGATAAGCATCCGTGTGGGTGGCTTTCCTGTAGACAGAGTGGCTCATTGAACCATCAGGTCTCCTTTTGATTAGGACATCCAAAAAGGGTAGCTTGCCATCATTTTCGACTTCCATGGTGAATCTGATGGCTGGGTGTATGGAATTGATGTGGTCGAGAAATTGGTCTAGAGCAGGCCGGCCATGTGGCCAGATGACAAAAGTGTCGTCTACGTACCTCTTCCATAAGGTCGGGCGTAGAGTGGCAGTCTGGATGGCGTCCGTCTCAAATTTCTCCATGAAGATGTTGGCTACAACCGGAGATAGGGGGGAGCCCATTGGGGTGCCCTCAATTTGCTTGTAGAAGGTTCCATTCCAGGTGAAGTATGTATTGGTTAAGCAGTGTCTCACCAGGGGGGGTACCCCAGCATTCAGTCCTTGATGAACCAAGTCTTCAATGATTGCGATGGTGTCAGGCACAGGCACCTTGGTGAACAAGGAAACCACATCAAAACTGACAAGCAGGTCGTCTGGGGACAGGGCAATCCCCTTGATTGTCGATACCAGGTCAGTAGAGTTTAGTACTGCAGAGGTGGTTTTTCCAGTGAAAGGCCGTAGGATTTCGGACAAAAAACGAGCCAGTTTGTAAGTGGGGGAGTTGATAGTAGAGACAATGGGACGAAGAGGTGTATCTTCTTTATGTATCTTTGGCAAGCCGTACAATCTTGGTGGCCTGGCTGCAGAAGGTTTCAACGAGAACTGTTTGGTCTGATCAATTAATGCGGTTGAAGCAGAAATGATGTTGTTGGTTTTGGAGACGAGGCTGTTGGTGGGGTCTCTTTTATTTTTGTATAGCTGCCATCGTTGAGTAGTTCTTGAATTTTGTTGTTGTATTCTATTTTGTCCATGATGACAGTGGCATTGCCTTTGTCGGCTGAGAGGATGACAATGTCATCCCTCTTTTTTAATTGAGCTAATTCAAAACGCTCATCTTTGCTAATGTTGCTAGCTGGCATCTTAGCGTTTTTGAGGGTTACAGAGATTTCAGATCTTGCTACGTCTGCAGCGATGTGACTCAAGCCCTTGAGAGCTACATCTACTCGAGCAATTATATCATTAACTGGTATGTGTCTAGGTGTGACTGCAAAGTTTAGTCCTTTAGCTAAAACGGATTTCAAACCTTCAGAAATAGGACTGTTACTGCGATTAATTACGACTTTGTTAACATCTAGCTTTTCAATGTGTGGGTCCGGTTTCTTGTTTGAGAGGCGGTTGAATTTGGAAATCAAGTTGTCCTTACATTTAGTCGACATAGCGGCAGCTGAAGAGGCAGTCATTTTTTCCACATGTTCCCAAT